TGTAATACATAATGGGTCTAGTCAGAAGGTGTGACTTGAACTCAGAACTTACTAGGAATGAAGGTATTAAAATGGAATACAGCATCCGGTCACATTCTTGGTTTGATCATGTCTAGATAGTGCTACAATGAGAAGCTCTAGAATGCAGAGCATGAACTGCGGATGAAGAAAAACATGAAAAGTAGCAAGGAGTTTGCCTGAAACTTGGAAGTATCTTCGGGAAAATGCAGAAGGATGGATGCTGAGAATTAAGAATTTCCTGGGAGCTGGGCATGATAGTGTATGCACGTAATCCCAGCTACTCAGGAAGCTGAAGCAAGAGGATCACAAATTCCAGGCCAAGCTCACCAACTTAGAAAGGCCCTCAGGAATTTAGTAAGACCCTGTTTCAAAACAAAAAATAAATAAAAAGAGTTGAGGGGGCTGGGGATGTGGCTCAAGCGGTAGCGCGCTCGCCTAGCATGCGTGCGGCCCCGGGTTCGATCCTCAGCAGCACCACATACCAACAAAGATGTTGTGTCCGCCGAGAACTAAGAAAAGATAAATAAATGTTAAAATTCCCTCTCTCTCTCTGTGCCTCCCTCTCTCTCACTCTCTCTTTTAAAAAAAAAAAAAAGTGATATAGTACACACTTAGATCATTGCTTTTCTTCACTTTATAGTAGTATATAGAAGACATCTTTCTATGTCATTGAATATTTATCTACCACAGTGACTCTACATTAGATCCTCCCAGGGAAACTTTAAAAATATTGTTCCCAGAGTCAAGTTTAATTAATCAAGGGTGAGGCTGGGTTTTGGGATTTTAAAACTCCCCAGGTAGTTTCAGTGTGCAAGCTACTGTGCTATAGCCACAAAAGTTCATATAACATAAAATTAAATATTTTAAAGTGAATAAGTTAATGGCAACTAGTATATTCACAGTGTTGTACAACCACTACTTTCAGCTAGTTCCAAAACACCTCATCCCTCCAAAAGGAAATGTCCTATGAAGAGATACGCTGCATGTACCTCTCTCCCCAGCCCCTGGCATCTACCAATCTGCAGTCTGTCTCTTTGAATATAATTTACCTATTCTAGATATTTTATATAAATAGCATCACACAATATGTGAGCTATACTGTCTTGCTTCTCACATAACACAGTGTTCGATTTCACCTTTTCCAATTTAGTTCTCCCTGGCACTGCTCCCCAGTCTGTCACATGTACTTGAAAGTGGCCAGGATCATTGTGTCCAGGACATGATCTATTGTTTGACCATTGTATCAGTCACCTTTGTGTTACTATAATGAAATACATGAGGCAGGTTAACTTATAAGTAAATAAATTTACTTAGCTCCTAGTGTTGGAGGTTTAAAATTCAAGATCAGGTGGACTGCCACCATCTCACGGAACTGTTAATACCTTCTGAGGGTAAGCCTCCACTAGCCCAAGGACCCCCACTAGGCCCCACCTCTTAAAGGTTCAAACACCTCCCAGCAC